AGAGCTTGCATGTGTGGGTTAATTTATATTAATTTAATTTCTCCTAGCAATCACAATTTACTTGCTATTCATAAGGTGTCCAAAAGCTATGACTGTGAAATATATAAGAAATAAACTCTTGCATAAATTGAAGCAGATTTTTTAGGAACTTCTAGATTTAAAAAATAAGACTCGTAACAGCAATGGATTTGGTTTCTATTAATTGATATATACATTATATTTCATTTTATTCATTTTAATTTTTTAATTTAAAATTTGTAATTTTTAATTACAATAATTTTTAATCTTGGCCATCTGTGTCCTATTTTGCAGTGGGAAGCCACTTACTATCATCTACATGATAAATATTATGGTTTTATGTCTGGATACCAAATTTTTAGAAAATCTTCAGAGATTAGTGTTTAACTGCTTAAGAATCTAATAAAATTAATGGGGATGGGAACATTACAAGATCAGTTACTGCCCCTCGTTAAAAGAGAGATACATGTTGGTTGATGTGAGATCCAATACTAGCAAACATCCTTAGAGCAGTAATTACAAGAGCTGGGATGGGGAAGGCAATATGTGCAAATAAGGCAAGTTTAAATATGCAACACTTACCTGGCTCATCTGAGCCATCTTTGCAATCACAGTAATCATCATTGACTCTATCAAAGGATATTGTTGCAGAGCCATCAAGACAAGTGAATAATTTTGATTCGTCATAGAAGTGATGGTCTAAAAACAACAGACACACACACTTGGGTTCAAGGAAGAAAAAATACTGAAAAAAAGATATGTCAATTCAGAAAAGTATTCAGCATTTAATATTCCATGTCTAGTTAAGTCATTCCATATCTTATGTCTATATAACTTATATTTTAAATGACAAACAAAATGTTGAGCAGGATGCAATTAGTAATCACTCCACTTCTGTAGCTTATTGTTAGCACAAATCAGTATTGAGGGCAAGAGGAAGTTGCACATCTAAACAAACTTCAAACAATAAATTGTTTTCTTTTCAGTAACTCATTTGCTTTAAATCTCTCTTCAGATTACCACCTTTCTCTCTCATACCACCATTTTAAATCCAAGAAAACAAACATTGGAGAATTATGGAGGTTTCCTTATACAACATGGATGCAATCTTTTGATTTATAATGCAAAAACATAGACACATTTCCAACCTTTGATTGCTAGAAATAATGAAACTTTCCAAGTGATACATTGTAAGAGGAGATCAAATCTGTCATCTAACCTACAGATAGTCCTCAACTTACAACAGTTCGTTTAATGACTGTTCAAAGTTACATCACTGAAAAAAGTGAGTTATGATGATTTTTCACACTTATGACCGTTGCAGTATTCCCACGGTCATGTGATTTACATTCGGAGACTTGACAACTGGCTCACATTTATAACAGTTGCAGTGTCCTGGGGTCATGTGATCACCTTTTGCAACCTTCTGACAAGCAAAGTCAATGGGAAAACCAGATTCACTTAACTGTGTTACTAATTTAACAACTGCAGTGATTCACTTAACAAATACGGCAAGAAAAGTTGTAAAATGGAGCAACACTCACTTAACAAATTTTTCACTTAGCAATGTAAATTTTGGGCCCAATTGTGGTCGTAAGTTGAGGACTACCTGTATTATCCGCTTGAAAACTCACTTGTTAGGGAGACCCCTCTTGGACGCTTCACTTCCACAGGATAAGCCAGGCCAGAAAGTGAGAGCAGTCCAAGATATAGAAGCAGCATAACGGAAGCTCAAAACCAGCAACTCCTGGAACAAAATGCAAACAAAGGACTTGTTACTCTAGAAACTTCCACTTCTTAGTTGTACTACTGATTTGCTGTTTCACAGTTGTTTGGATTTTAATTTTTGCAATATTTATAATTGCTTTTTATTTTAATCATGTTTGCCACCCAGAGCCACTTGTTGGGGTGACCCTACAAATTAAATAAATAAATAACAAACCTTCCTGTTAACATGAATATATGGAGGAGGAAGATGCAGAATATTCCTTCCTCTCATCCAATTTTATTTTAAATAAAACTATTAAGTTACCCAAGTTTCAGGTAGGATCCTCACATGTGATTTATATTTTTTCTCTGTAGTCAAAAAATTCTATGAAGCTGATCTCCTGAGTGCCTAAAATGCAAGTCCAAAGATTTATTTTCAGTTTCTAACAGAATTGGTAAATACTTGTGTTCTTGACCAAGATTTGTACTTGTTTTGATATCACTTTCTCCCTTTTTATGATCTTATAACCCTCTAATTCAGGGTAAGGTCCAGGTTATTGAATGGAGCTGTGCTTTTACTGGTCAATGCCCTATCTGTTCCCTATGCAAAGTTCCAGCAGATATTTTTTCTTTGTGCCCTAGGAAGCATCTGCCACTACCTAGGAATGAACTCTCTACCTTTCAAGTGGGAGGCAAACGTCTTTACTACTAGACCACCACTCCGAACACATTAAAACTATTCCAATGTGTCTCAATCCCACTGATAGTAATATCTCATCTCAAATTAGTGTCATTAAGGACTATCCCAAAACTGAACAAGAATATACATGAACCATTTAAGATAGCTTCTCTGCTCTCCCAAATGGCCTCTACAACTATCAGATTACTCATTGCACCTGCCATAAGGCTGCTAACAAAGTTTCGTGTTCTGGACACAATATACCAAGGCCCTTAGAATGTGGGCAGCATCATAACACTAAGCATTTTTATGGTTTTTCCTATGGCAAGATGATAAAGTTGTTATACCCAGAATAGAAGTAACTAAGTGTCACCACCATGGCAAATATAAGCTCTGGTCCCTGGAGACTGGGTATGGCTTCACATATTCTTCAACTTCCAAGAGCTGACAAAGGATCTGGGGGAATTTTTCTTTTCTCTCAAAAGAGAGATTTCAGTTTATCCTTTAAAATAAATCGAATCAATAGCACTATAGTCAGGCGCTCCTGCAAATAGTAATAGCATTTAGACTTGCACACCTCCTTTATAGCACTCTCTGGGCAGTTTACAATGTCAGCATTGTGCCCCCAACAATCTGGGTCCTAATTTTACTGACCTCGGAAGGCTGGATCAAATTTGAGCCCCCTCAGATATTAATCAAATGTTGATTATTCCCTTTCCCAACCTTACTGTGCAATACCTTGCTTGAAAATGCTCTTATATAGGCAGTATTCTTCCTACATGTTGAAATTTACAATACATGAATTTTAGCATTGTATTGCTTTTTAGAATTTCAGATCTCTACAGCTGATATTTCAATGAAACACCACCAGATACTCTAGAAGCTATAGGCTAAATCAGATTTTTTTAATGATAAACCACTTCCTTAATGTTGCAAAAAAATAAAAATCCTGCATAATAATTCCATGAAACTGGCATGAGCCAAATTCCTCTCAAAAGACTTTATTGTTTTCCAAACTACCACACAAATGCAGCAACCTGTACAAATCAGAAAAATGCACCTCCCACATTCTGAGTTTAAAATTCTGCTATGATGATCATGACTTAACACAGTCAAGATTCTACTTGCTTCCTATTACCAGTTGCCATTTTGAAGTACAAATCTTCCGTTTGGAGAATTAAGCTAGTAAATATGCAATGCTTATGTCAAACTTTAATTATCTTCCCATCTTCCTAATTAATAGTTTAACTATTGCTCGGTGTCCTGAAAACTTCTTAATTCCTGGATGCACCACCCAAAGAGTCATTTTGAAACAGTAACTTGTCTAAAGCTATAGCTCAGCATTTTAATTTCAATTTAAACTAGTTTTGGAAAATTAAAAAAGCTGAAATCTCAATTTTTTTTTTAATCAGCTGAGATATGCCACATAGTTTTTATAAATTGAAATATCCTCATAGGCACATAAAGCAAAAAATAAACAACATGAATGCTTCTCATTCACGTTAGCCACTCTGTTAAAAGTTGAGTTCACCCAGAGCTTTGCTATTAAGAATTAAGATTAAGTGTTCATTGATCTGTTGCAGTAATATGGCCCTTTATACCTAAAGGACAAAGAATCAACAATTAAGTATTGTTCTATGTTGGTCGAATGCACTTTAAGTTTTCTAAACTTTAAAAGTGAGCAATAATGCAAAACCTGAATATTTTTTTTTTTGCAGAAAGACAGACCTTCAACCTAATTCGCACTGAAACGAGGAGCGTACATTAAAGGCAACAATGGCTAATTATTATCAGCCATTCCTAGTGTAGAGCCTTCCAGACGTGCTGGACTAGAATTCTGTCCATACTGTCCACGGAGGGTGAAAGCTACAAAACAAGTTATCAGAACAGCAGCAGCTTAAGGAAAGCTGGGTAAGCTTACAGGGTGTTGAACGCGATGCGGTGCATGCCATGCTCTGCGTTTTAACCCAACGGGCTCTCTTATCTACGTGGCGACTGACTAGGACACCGAGAGCCAAGCAGAGGGGCAAGCCCAGTAGAGCTCCGCGTTTCCCCACTCCCCGGGAAATCTGCCCCCAACAGCAACCTCCGACAGGCGCGCCCCTGCCCGTGAATGCACCACCCCCGCCGCCCTCCTTACCCGCCTCCCGCCGAAACTCTCGTGGAAAAAGGTCCCAAGCCCCTCCACCTGGAAACCGGAAGTAAGTTATGAAATATCCGCTCCAAAGCGCGCGGAGGGGGTGGGGACTTTAAACGGCCCTTTTCTCCCAGTCGCCGTTTTTGACTTCGACTTTCCTTGGTGACCATCATAAGAGTGGCGGAAGTGCTTTCCTTTCCATCCATGCTGCCAATGCCACACGATTGGCCAAGGATTTAGCCGCAGTTCGCTTTTATTTGTTGCTTGTTCCACGTGGACAATGAAATGTTTCCATTTCATCTCCTGCGTGACAAATTAATAATAAATTTGGATTTTATTATCCCCCGTGTGAGGATTACGAAGGGTACTTCCGGCCTCACTTCCGGCAGGTGCAAGGAGAATTTGACCTTTTTCCCATCGTGCCCTGCAGAACTCGCTCCTTCCACCAATAAGCGCTTTGCGTCGGAAGTGGTTGTCATGGAGACCCATCTAGGCGTAGGGATGCTGATGGGCAAGTGAGCTGCGGCCACCGACAAAGGGCGCGGGGAAAGCCTGGATGAGCGGCAGTGGCCTTTGTGGAAGGCCAACGGGAGAGGGCTCTAAGACTTCTCAAGCCGAAGCACCATTTGCTGTCAAACGTGTCTGTATGCGTGTGGTAACTTCATTTTCCTTCTCAGTGCATCCCCTGTTTAGCCCTCTGCACCCGACAGGCTCTGCCTACTGTTATCTCAGGAAGCCCGGGTTGAAGCACGCTGGTGTTTTCTCTCCCGTCCAACTAATCTTTTCTGACTCCACCTTCTCACCACCGTCACTGCTGCCATGCCAGTAACACATCTGGAAGGAATAAAACCCCCTATTCATGAGCAGATATCGGAGCTGCAAAGCAAGATTCAGCTTCTAGGTAAGGGGTGCTGAAAATATAGAGGGTGAGAGGAAAAGGACAAGATAAGTACAGCCCCTAAATATAAATTACAAAACTATGGGCATTTAGAAAGAAGCCTCATTATGCCTAGAGGATGACTCTTGGCTCTTGTAAAATTCCAGGGTGAAGTAAGAGTAATTAGACCAAATAGACCACACACTCCAAAAAAAATAATAATTAAAAAATATACAGAACAAACACAAAGATAGAAAAAAGACATCTGAAAAAACATACATTAATGCCTTCAGCCCTTCTATCAACTATCATCTTAAACTTTTCCCCAACTTCTTTGCTTTTTTAATCCCTTAGAGCAGTGGTTCTCAACCTGTGGGTCGGGACCCCTTTGGGGGTCGAACGACCCTTTCACAGGGGTCGCCTAAGACCATCGGAAAACACATATTTTCAATGATCTTAGGAATAATTTTATGGTTGGGGGTCACCACAACATGACGAACTGTATTAAAGGGTCGTGGCATTAGGAAGGTTGAGAACCACTGCCTTAGAGAATTTTTAATTATTGCACCTTGTTTGCCTACACATATTGTGTGCTGATCATAGTTTCAGAATACTTAGCAAAAGATTTACTTCATTCATTCATTGTTGTTGGCATTAAAATTAGATCTCAAGTATCCTCCTCTTAACTGGATAGAAGAAAAAAAAAGCTCCTTCCCCAAACCTGGGATAATTACAACTACACCATAATCTAAATATTAAAAGCTGAATTCCTTGTGAGGAGTGCAATGTCTTTGTAAACTTGTATCAGTACGGTATATTAATACTAGAATGTGGTCCATAGCATATAATGCTCTGTACCATACAGTCCATTGTTAGATGTAGTGATAATGTGTAACTTTATGCCATGTGTTTATGTGAACGAATCTGTGTGAAAGAATACATGAGATCCATTCATTGAAGGCCAAAAAAGCACAAAAGTTTGTTCAAGAAATATCAGCTTAACATGTGGAGAATGACAACTTTAAAAAGACACAACATATGGGAGGTAGGGTCTTCATAAGAAAACCATAACAGATCGTTTGCATGTGAACTGGATCAAACAGTGGTATTCTATTGGAAAAGTATCAGAAGATATGAGAAGAATGTTCAGTATGGATTTTCCAGGCTTGATAGAATCAAGCTTTATTGGAAAATATAAAAAATTAATGGAGACAGTAGTCCTCGCCTCGGAGCCACTACACAGAATAAGTGGTCTTCCTAGATCCTGCCTCACTTCTTTTGCAACATAAACCTAGTCTGGCTTTTTCTATGAGGTACTATTCAAATGAGGTTATGAAAGAGGTTTTGAATTCAGAAGGATGGAAGGCTGAGTCAACCCTTTATCAGTATTGTCTGTATTCATATAAATATTCCAATAGTATTAATCTAACTAAAGTTAGCAAAATATATTCAATTTAATTTATTTTTGATGGAATATGGAATTAGTGAAAGTGCTTGGGAGATATTTCTGCCATGGCCAATGGATGATTGCCTTATAATATCATACCATACAAAGTTCCTATTTTCTTTTATGAAAACGTTATGTAAAAGCTCACTTGTTTTCAGGCTTGAAGCGTAGAAATGAACATTGTTGCAAAATCAAAGTTCAAAATTGTTTCTACAGATAAAGAAAATATAAATTCATATAGAAAGAAATTCTATCATCACAATTGTACTTCTGATTTACAGCATTAATTCCTTCATTTTTGTGGTACATTAAACAACTTCATTCTAAATTAACAACCTGGCAATTTGGAACTATTTGGCTTTGTTGGCTTTTTTCAATGAGCCAGCAACTACTTGATCAGCAGAGTGGTTTCATTTCTGCTCATTACAGAAGGTGACCGTAAAGCTTTCTATGAGAATTCCCAATGGAACATCAAGAAGAACAAGGAGTCCATTTTGCGGTTGAGGCAGGAGAATAAGAAATTGCATCAGAGGTTGGCAGACCTCCTAGCGGTGAGCTTTGTGGCCTTATACTGCCCTGTCTCAGTGAGCCCTTGTCAAATCATAATCACCACTTCTTTTCCCTTTCTTTGGAATTGCTTCCCTTTGGGTTCATACAGTATGACATTGGAAAAGAAAAGTATAGTGACTCTAATCTCATCTTCTCTTGGTAAAACATATTTAAGCTCTCTGCTTATTCCATTTGGGCTGCTCTGTTCAATAGCAATAGCACTTAGACTTATATATCATTTCATAGTGCTTTACAGTCCTCTCTAAGCAGTTTACAGAGTCAGCATATTGCCCCCCAACAATTTGGGTCCTCATCAAATGGGTTTTCTAACAGTCTGCTATGCTTACTACCTCCTCCCTTTAGGGCAAATTGTTTTTCAGCTTTGCCAGATTGAAACATGTTACTGGCAAATTCATTTGTCAAGCACCGTAACTTCTGGTTTCATTGACTATAAATGTGCAGATGCCAGATCAGATCCTGACAAGCATGAAATGACGAAGAGAATCAGAACACAAAAACTTTCTTGGCATCTGAAATTTGTCTGTATTTTTCTGCTCAGATCTGGTAGCTTAATGCAAGTGACTGTTCCTGTCACTTTTGGAATATTGTAGCAGCTCTTTGCCTTTGTGTGTCTATGCGTCTGTGTGTCTATGCGTCTGTGTGTATATCTGCATTTGTATTCCAAAAGTGACAGGAACAGCCATTTGCCTTTATTCAATATATTTTTAGAAATATCATAATATATATTATATTATATTATATTATATTATATTATATTATATTATATTATATTATATTATATTATATTATATTATAATATTGATATTATATATAATAGCTTTATTGTCATTGTACATGTATACACAGTATATCCATACAACAAAATTCACTTAACACCCAAAGACCAGGTTCAACACACATAACAATCCCCAAACACACTCCCACCCACCACAATTCCCCACCCCTAAACAACCCAAACATCCACACAACAGACCAAGTAATACTTTCTAACAGCTCACTGATGTTCATTGTTGAGTGCAATTATAGCTCTGGGATAAAAACTATTCAGAAAACGTGTGGTCTGAATTTTAATTGTTCTCTATCTTCTGCCAGAAGGCAACAGTCCAAAAAGATTGTAAGCAGGATGGGAAGAGTCTCTGAGAAGACTTTCTCAAACAGCGAGATTCGAAGACGTCATCCAGGGCTGGTAGCTGGAGTCCGATGATATTCTGGGCAGTTTTAATGATTCTCTGTAGAGCTGTTTTGTCCGCTATTGAGCTGCTCCCATACCAAGCAAGAATGCCGTATGTCAGGACACTCTCAATGGTGCTGCGATAGTAGGGCAGAAGTGGATGCTGAGATAGATTTATCTTCCTGAGCATTCTCAGAAAGTACAGCCTCTTCTGTGCCTTCTTCATAAGCATATATTATATTATATTATATTATATTATATTATATTATATTATATTATAAACATATATACTTATATACATACACAAACACACACACACAATCTCAAATATCAAATTCTGTGATAAAAAAAATCAGGGTTACATCTTATAATATTATTAAAAACCTGTCCCTTTCCATTGTATCTGATTGGCTTGCTTGTCACTTAATAACACAAATGCTTCTTTCCTAATGGTGCTCTATCAAGGTTTATTATAAGTATGCAGTATTGATCAGAAAATTGTATTTTAAGCTTTTTCTGTATCTTCATTTTTTATATTAAGAAAGAAGGAAGGAAGGAAGGCAGCAGAACTCTAAAAGAGTCTGTTGCTTATGTCCTTCTCTTATCCCCCATTTACCCATGAGCTGGCTTCAGGTTATGTAAACCTATAATCTGATTTACTTGTTTTTGGCCTTGTGTGTTATATGGACCCATTCACTATGTTTTAGGATTATGTATGAACCAGACTACTAATTCTTATTCAACGAAAATTAATACCGAAACCCAGCCAATAATGGTATTTCTCTTTTCAAAAAATTGGATTTAGATTACCTTCATATAATGACTATAATTGTTTTGGGATGTTGTTTTTTTTTCCAGGGAGAAGAAAAAGTAATTAAGGCTGCATTCCAAGAACATCCAACTGAACAAGGAGCTGTGAAAAATAAAACTGGGGAGGTAATTGATCATGCAAACATTTCTGAAATTAATTGCTAGATTAAAAAAACTGGTATTTAGGGAGTTGGGATTACAGAGTTAAAGAAGTTTGAGAATTCTAGGCTAACTCAAGTTAACATGCCTCTACTGCAGAGTGGAGGACTATGGCTCTTTTATGACTTGTGGACTTAACTCCCAGAGTTCCTGAGCCAGCATGTCTGCAATTTAATGTCTGTTCCTTTTATACATGCACTCTGACAAAACCATGGGATTCTGAAGATGCTTCTGCAACATGGGAAGGAAGTTTTCTCAATTTAGGCTTTTTCTGATCTATTAAAAATTATTATCTGTCTATAATTCAAATCCTCCTTTTCCCAGTAAATGAACAGCCTGTGCAATTGTTCAGATTGCTTTAAACTGTTTCCTTTCCTCACTACTATAAAGGGTGCTATTCAGATAATCAATCATCGACTATGCGAGAAAATCAATCAATTAAACAATTTGAAGCATCAAGTGGAGATGAGGAAGCTCAGGCTGGAGGAGCTGCAGACTCAATACAGTACTAAGGCACAAGAAATCAATGATATGCAAGAAATGGAAGAAGGGAACATTGAGGCAGCCAAGGTGAGAGAAGTCTGAATCTCTTGGAAAGAGTTGTCACAGCCAACTTGCCATCGCCAACTCACCATGGCCAACTTGTTGCAGCCAGCTTGCTATGGACAATTCGGCAAGCTAACTCACTGTGGGACAACTCGCCATGCCAACTCACCGTAGGACAACTCACTGCAGGACAAGATTTACAATGATATCGAAGAAATAGTGGAATAGAATCATTAAAGAAAGGATGCCAAAGGAGGGACAAAATGAAAAGTGAATAGCAAAAATTAAAATATTTTAAAAATTACTTTAAATAATGAAATTGAATTGTCCAGCAGCAAGTTGTCCTGTGACAAGTTGCCCATGTTGAGTTGGCTGTGGCAAGTTGGCCATGGCGAGTTGACCATGGTGAGTTATCCCATTCCATTGCTCACATGGACTGGGGCCCCTTCCCAATATTCAAATAGGTGCAGTCTTTCCTCATTGTTTATCTAAAATAAAGCATTGCCATAAAACCTTGGAAGATTGTGTTGAAGGCTGTTTGGAACCCTCCCCTTCCATCCTGCAGTAGGATGGAAAGGCTTGAGAGCCAGGATCCTAGCCTTCCTTGTTTTCTTACAAAAGTGGGACCAAAGGAATCAGTGCATGAAGGTTTGAAAATGGCTTCACTCTGAGCAAAGCCAATATCTAGAGCCATCCAGGTAGCATGAGGGTCATGCTTTAAAACAGAGATGAGTGAGTGTATTGTTGCCCTCCTGCAACTCCTCTTCTTGGAATACAGTGATGATTAAAAGATATCTTCTATTTTGCTGTTATGCTATTTAGACATTTCAAACATTATCAGATATCGGCTCTCATTTTTTACTATTGGCAGCTGCCCTCATGGGACAATTGGTAGTTATAGGAGGGATGGGCTGATTTGGATTGGAATTGTGGCGAGAGTAATGATTCTCTCTTCCTCTTGTTACATTACACCGCCCAGAATAATTTTTTATGAAACGGACCCCTATATAAATTTGATAAATAAATTTCCTAAATACCTCCTCTGTTTGACAATGAAAATCAAGCATGTATTTGCTAATTATAAGTTTTAATATGTAGTTTGTTGGTTATTATTATAAAGTTATGTAAATATACCATAAGAGGGAGGCAAAGAACAAGTCTACTGTTTTCTCCCTTACGCCTGTCCTTATTCTAGCTATTAGATTTATATCTAAGTATTAAAAGTAGACATGATTTATGTACTCTAATTTCAGATAAGCTGGTCAAAGCAGAGAGAGATGAGGAAGGAGTAACATGGTTAGATTTCCAAGCAATGGACAAAAATTTAGTCTTTTGGATCTTTACTGTTCATTTCTATACCAGGTTTCTTTGTCTTTCCATAGAGATGTTCTGCCATTTTGAATGTTCGGCTACTTTAATTTGAATTATTGCTCATCTGAAAATAAAGAAGAATCCTACATAGATACATGCTGTTAACTCCGTTCATGCACCACATTATAATCACTAGCTCTTTACATTTTAGCTTATAATAAACAACAGCTCCAGGGAAGAGCCCATAATTCAAAGAAACGATACATGTTTTGAGTAGAGAAGATCCCTGGGTTTCTAGCATTATACTCACATAAGAGGCCATATGTTATAGGGTTAAATTGGAATACAACAAGGTACTATCCTAGAAGTTCTGACAAGTATTTCTATGGTATGATTCTTTTCTGAAGCTATGTGTGTGTGTTTGTATGTGGGAAAGAAAAGCAAAATTATAACTTAAAGAAAAAAATGGCATTTTAAAAACAGACAGATGTCTTTCACTGGAAGTTATAAATAGCTTAAGAGTTTCAGGTGTTTATATATTTGGATTTTATAGAGTTGGCTCCAGATATTGCTGTCTTCCATTTATAATCAATTTGTATAATGCTGTGGGTTTTTTTACTTCTTTTAAATTTTGATAAAATGTCTTTTTGGTCATATACAGTTGCTATTTAACGTGTTACCAGACTGAAATACTGAGATGATTAAATTATTCATTAGGTAACAAAAGCATCTCTAAAGAATGAACTGTGACCACAAACAAATCAATCATTATTCTTTTGGGATGCTCAAAATAAATAAAATGCCCAAGAGCATTTTACGTATCACCTGTCATACAATTGAAGTTATATACATTGAAAAATGTAATATATGGACTTGAATTTGAAATATATGTAAAAAAAATAATAAATTTAAAACCTCTTGCCCTTTAAATTAATAACATGGAGAATTGGGAGGATGAATATGAGAAACTAAGGGAGATGTTTCAAAAGATAAGCGAAGCATTTAAGGGAAATAAAAAAGTGGAGGACTGGTTAGAATGTAAAAAAAATGAAAGAAAATATGAACGGGAAGCAAGAGAAGCAAGAAGACAAGACTGAAAAGGAAATGATTGAAAATAAAGATACAGATGATTACACTGGGATTGACAGTGAAAGTATGAAAATGGATAAGGGGAAATATCTCTCAAAAAAGAAGAAGAGAAAAGAAGAGAAGAGAAGGAAATGGGGAAATATAGAGAGGGAAAGTTAAGAGTAAAAATTAGAGAAAGGAGGCAGAAAGGGAGATATAAGAAAAAGAAGAAGATAAGAGAATGGGAAAAAGGGAGGAAATTATGGAATTGTGGAGAGATTAAAAGAAAATGGTTAAAAAGGGGATAGTAGAAAGGAAATTAAAATATCAGTATGTCGATTTAAGAGAAGAATATTAGTAGAAACTATGTAAAAAGTAAGTTAGAAGAAAAATATAGATTATTATAAAAGGGATATAAGTAAGGATGAAATGAAATGTGGGCAAGAAGGAAAAAAGAAAGATTTTAATGTAAAATAGAACAGTAGATGTAATATGAAAGACAGAATGGGTTATATGTTTTGTTGTCTGAAGAAGTATAGATTGGAGAGAAATAATAGTGGATGGTAAAGAAGAGTGTGTTAAAGATGGAGACGAACAAAGAAATTAATTGAAATTAAGATGAAAAACTGAAAAACTGAATAAAATTGAAATGTTAGTAAATGATGTAAGTAAGAATGAAATGAAATAGACTTCCGGGTTGGCTCCGCAGCGCCATTGACGGTCTTTTTAGACCGCCGCCCCCGTGATTCCGTTGAGCCGTTCTGACAGCGTTAATCAGCTGTCAAACGGCTTGAAAATCTCCCCTTCGGGAAAAGAAGGGGAGGAGAGCAGGTGGGTGAGGGTAGAGCTCCCTGAAAACCCCTGGATTAATTCCAGGGGTTAGGAGGGTGAGAGCTCCCCGTTCAGCCCACTGAAGCTCCGGATCCGGGGGGACTCTGTTTTTTACAGAGCTAGGTGTTGCGTCCAATTTCTGCTGTCAAACAGAAGATTAAATGATTTCAAAAAAGCAGGCGGAACAGAAGCAGGAGGACAAGCTTTTTGCAAGTATAACACTTAACTCCGGGGATACAATGTTTCTAATTGGATTTTCTGAGCTGGAAGTTAAGATGGCGTTTCTTTGTTGCGATTTTAAAAGGGAAAGTTAGAAAAAGTTTTTGCTAATAGACTCGTGCTCAGAGACTGGCTTTAAGTTGCTGGAATAGACTTTGAAGAGCTGTTTGGGAAAAGATTGTTTATAAAGAAATTGCTGAATGCTGCTCAAAAGGATGGCTCTGACTTTATGATTTTATGGTTGTGGGAAGAAAGAAAATTTCTTTAAAATAAAATGGCTTCTAAGAAAGGAGATCTTGAAAGTGCTGGATGCTATTTGGAGGTGTCAGAAACGAAACAGTTGTCTGATTTACAGAGTTGTAAGTATTTTGATGCAGAACTTACAGAATTTATAAAAGAAGCCATGAATAATCATACTGCAGCTATAAGTAACCAAATAGCAATTCTTAAAGGGATAACAACAGAAATGACTGAGGAAATCAAAACAACTACGGAGCATGATGACAACTCAGGAGATATTGCAGCAGAGAGGGTGGAAGAATTTTCTCAAGAATTTTCGAGCTTACTCTCTGCTCTTTTCGGAAAAATTGATAGAATCCTTCAAAATTATGACTTGGTTTGGAAAAAAGTAGTAAATGACCAGACTTTCGAAGTTTCAGAAGATGAAGGAGACTTGTCAGTGGCATCTATACATTTAATAGAAAAGCAACAATTGAACTTTTCTTCACAAACTCTTGACAAACTTTGGTTTTACAGACGAAGGAATGAACTGATTTATATAAGCATGAAGAGGCGATTTGGGGGCTCTAAATCAGAGGAAACTTTTTTAAAAAGGGGACAATTTTTGCAGTTATATCAACCTCAAATTAAAATGAAAAACCTCCTCAAAATAGAAGTAGGAGGGATGCAGAAAGATTGGAAAAAATATAAAAAGAAAGCAAGAATGGAAGATTAACCTTTTCTTTTGGCTTTGTAGTTGTTCTACTCATGGTTAAAAATGATTATGTTGTAGGTATTATAACTACTGAGGGGGGAAAAAGTATAAAGTTAAATATTGATTTTTAAATATGATGTATTAATGGTTGATTAATCCTTTTTGGTTTTTTAGTTTATGTATTAATGGTTAATTATGTTGTTGATTATCTTTTAAATTTTAAAAATTGGAGGGAGGAATAATGAAGGGGGAAATTTAGAAACTTAAAAAATGTAGAAATTTAATTAGTGAATATCTAAGGTTTATTTTTTGTTATGAGATTTCAAAATAAGAAACCAAGAATGGAAGATTATTTTTTTTTTTTTTTTTTTTTGGCTTTGCAGTTGTTCTATTCATGGTTTAAATTGATTATGTTTTAGGTGTTATAACTATTGAGGGGGGAAAAGTATAAAGTTGAATATTGATCTTTAAATATGATGTATTAATGGTTGATTAATCTTTTTTGGTTTTCTAGTTAATGTACTAATGGTTAATTATAAAAATGTAGAAATTTAATTAGTGAATATCTAAGGTTTATTTTTTGTTATGAGATTTCAAAATATCTGAACTTTGAGAAAAATAGGAGGGGGAAAAATGTTTTTAGGTTTGAATGTTTAAGATTTGTTAATGGTTTTAAAATTCTTAGAGTTATTGGATTACATGTTACTTTGTGTTTATATAAAGGGAGGTTGATGAAATTGTAAAAGGGGAGTTAAGGGGTCTTGGGAGTTATTAAATCTTGTAGTTAGCTAGTTTATTTTAGCGAATGTTTGGTGAAATCTATGCCCTGTTTTTGTTCTGGGAAGTCGGGGGTGGGGGGTGGTAAGGAGGGGATGAAGATTGAGTTTACCAAATTGATTTTTTTTTCTTTTTTTCTGATGATAGTATGAATGATTGTTTATATTGTATACTTGTTTGATCAGAAAATAAAAACTTTTTTATTAAAAAAAAAAAAGAATGAAATGAAATATAAGTAAGAAGTAAAAAAGAAAGATATTATTAAAGGTAAAATAGATTAAGGCTTGGAAGGCCAACTCAGCAAAGTCTTTAAGGTAAAAATGAAATAAGTTGAAATATATTGCTAATAATTAAAAAGAGGAGGGGAATTCTGAGAAATATATTTAATAAATGGAGGAAAAGTCAGGGTTGCCTGGACACCATAGTGGAAAATAGTAAATTAAAAATGAATACAGCAATAGAGAGAGACGAAAGAAGGAGTAGAGGGATGGAAGGAAGGGAAGAGGGGAGGAAGGGAGGGAGGGGAAATAAGACTAGGAGAGAAGGTTAGATAGGGAGAAAGAGAGGAGGAGGGGGAGAAAGGAAGGGGAAGTAGGGAAAATAGGAGAGGAGAAAAGAAGAAAGTAGGAAGGATAAAAGAAGGGAGGGAGATGGAAGAGAATGAGAAGAAAGATTGCTGTACAGTAAAAAAGATGAAATGGAAGAAAGGCAACCTTAAACATGTGTAAATGTATTAGGATAAAGAATGGATTATTAAAAAGTAAAAAAGAATAAATATGAGTAAAAATGGAGAAATTAGAATTTGAGGGCGAATAAAGATGTTGTTTATATAAATAAACATAGAAATATTAAGATATGATTTAAAAATATGGAAAAAGATGATCTTGGCAGAAATTGTAACTAAGTAAAATGTATTTGCATGTGATAAGTTGTATAAGATATGATATGGCCAATACTCTGTTCATAAAATATGCAGCTGAGTGGGGGGGAAAGAAAAAAAAATCAATAAAACTTGATTTAAAAAGAAAAAAAGAAAAAAAGGGAAAAAGAATAACCAGATGCCAAGTGTCCAATAAGAAATCCTGGACTTTTACCAAATTACAGTTCATGCTATTTGAAGAACAGAACAATGCAATCTAACAAGAAGGCAACACCACAGACTCATAGAATCATAGCCTGGAGGGGATCTTGAAGATCTTTTAGTCCAAACCCCCTGCTCAAGGCAGGAGTCTTGTACTATCCCAGTCAAATGGTTGTTACATTGTTTTTGAAAACCTCCAGTGATGGAGTACCCACATCCCCAGGAGGCAAGCTATTCCATTTCTTTTGCTTGTAAATTCCCTCAAACTCAGAAAAATATTGGAAAACTTTTCTTCAATAATACTGTGATTAATGTGGACGTTCCATTCCTAGACTAGGAGGTCTTCCTCACTGTTACTCATATCTTCTTATCTCTCTCCTCTTGAAGATCATCTGTAAGCTACAGCCAGTAGCAGCAGCAAGAGTGGTTTTGAATGCACTTTGGTATACCGGTGTAATGCATCTACTTTGTGAGCTTCACTAGTTCTCGGTGGGCTTCCAAGTGCAACTCAATGTGCTGATTACTATATATAAAGGGACAGGACCACATGTCTCCAGTAATTTATTTTCATCTCAAGAGGTCTGATAGAGTAGGCATATTTACAACCCTTCTGTTAAACCATTATACCTAATAGAAGGAAGGAATGTTGCAGCATTCCCCCATGGCACAAAATATCCCTTGAGTCCTGATCCTGCTAATCATTTGTAAGATACTGGAGATCTGTTTCTTTCCCCAGACATTGGACCAGACTATTAGTATTGTGGCTATATGGAGTGACTCCAGACGTGATGTGTTGTTTTTCCACAATGTGAAAAATACTGAGAAGGAAAATTGGACTCTTTGGGGTATTGAGCTACTGTAAAGCAATTAAATTGCTCACCTTTCAGCAACTATATAGCACTTTACAACAGGGATCAAATTGAATTGGATGGAGTTTTATAGGCTTTTCAATATCCTTGGCTCAGCTGCTATCTTAGTTTGCTGCTCTTTGCATCCAGACTCTGCGAACACTGGAGAACCGTTTGGAAAAGGCCCGATTCAAGACTGAGGAGGCTGTACGCATCACCAACATGTATAAGAAGCTAAAAGCACATATGCAGGTATGATGCCTTCATCAAAATAGATTATTTCAAAACAGGATACACAACTCTAGGCATTCCCCACAATCTTGAAAGAAAGAAGATACGTTTTAGCCACTGCTAGTGTAGTGCTATTCAATTTGCAGTGATCAAAAAGCAACATGACAGCTTTTGCTCATGGGTTTCCTGAGGAGGAGGTATCTAATCTCTGACCTGTTAATATCTGGATTATGGACAGGTTAGGAATTTATATACTCAATAATTTTGTTGTATCTGCAACACCTGTAACTTTATGGCCCATGGAAAATGTAGGAACATTAAAGTTGATTGTTCTATCATTCACTCTGAAATTTTCATCCCCTTTCCAGGAGGAAAGCTTGCACTTTCAGAACAAGCTGGATGCCCTGGAAGCGGAAATTTTACGTCTACGCCATGAGCTCCAAGAACTGGAAAGCGTGAACACTGATGCACAACATGCTCGCAACGTTGCTAGGGTAGGGGAATGGGATAAGCACAGTATTAAGTAAGAGTTGAGGTATCAGCAATGGAAGAGAATATGCAATGCTCTAGTTCAGTATCACAACCATAGCTTAGGATCTAATTCAGATAAGGTACTATTGGTTTCTGGTATATCCAGACTGCTCCATTTGCAGTTGTAAGGAAAGATCAGAGCTGCAATAGATGGAGCCACATTGCCAAAGGTATATGAGAGAAATGGCATGGTATATAGAAATTCAGGAGTGTGTAGGTGAATGTCAGGAGATGTACCAAGATAAGCCCCTGTAAGGAGATCTATCTTATTAGTTATATACCTGGAATCATAATTTTGCAGAATTAATTATATGTATACAGACATATGATTTCCATATTTTTTTTCAAGCTTTTAAATAAGTTATGATTTAATCTGGAGGCATCTTAGAAGAATCATATTAGGAAAAACTCCTGCTAAAACAAACAGGAAATAACAACTGATATGTTCATAACAGCGTGCCTAATAATAAGCTCTCTGTTTGACAAATTCCTGGAATATACAGAGTTTTCATTAAAGGTAAATAGAGCAAATGGGGCGGATTTCCATGAGGAAATCCATACAGGTTGGGGAAAGATTAATAAGAACTTAAGCAGTATCTTGCTGGATTATCTCTGACCATTGTAGCCCAGCAATTTGTTTTTACGGTTGCCAACCAATTGCTCAAGGAAACCCAGCAGATAGCCTTCAGAGGCAGTCATACTGCCATCAACACTAATAGCCATTAATCCCCAAAACTTTTAAAAAGGATTCTCAGGTCTGGATAAACCAGTGCTATCATCGCATCGATGTATCTAGTGGACCATTTCAAACAACTTTAAGAATAGCAGAACTGTGCTGATCAGGCAGTATGTCCTGTTTATTTCCCCTTACAATGCAGGAGCAGCTTTTGACTCAAGAAGAAACCATCTACCGAGAAAGAAAGATTCGAGATAAGAAACTGAAAGACATAAAGAAAATGACAGAAGAAAAGAGAGCACAGAATGAGCGTGCAGAAAGACGGGTAGTGTAGCATTTTTTGCTATCCATGAAGTGACTGCTTATTTTTCTTTTCATTTTGATTATTGGCTAAGGGGTTGTTTTGCCTGGCATATGCACAAAAGTAAAGATGTACCATATTTTCCAAAAAAGTGGAAAAGTTAAGATGCCCTTTTCCCAAAATAAAATAGAAAAAAATTATAAATGCAGAAAAAGTTCTATGTGATGCCTAGATTTCTTTGTCAACCTAGAATTACCAATTTCCATTGAAATTAATCTGGTAAATATCTCACTCATCAATACAAATGTAGCTGAGTGACACAGTTATATATAGTATGTACAGTATATATATATGAACATACAAACTTGATAGAAGTAGCATTTAAAAGAAAAGCCTGACCAAAAACGTTGATTGAATAAAACCTATATATTAAAATTAATTACCTGTAAAATAAACCATCAGGTGCTAAAATTAATTCTTTCTCTTTATACATAACCATTCTCTTCATAGAAACCACTTTCACATGAGAAAAAGGCAAATGCTTGCATCTGCATTTTTGTTTTGTTTCCAGTAGTAGCAGCACAAAAGGCAGAGAAAGAAATAGAAAATATAGCATAGGGTTTAGGTAAAGGGTACTAGTCCTGGAAGAGTAGAAAAGAGAAAAAAACCCTTTATTGTTGGAGTCATGAGACAAAGAGCAGATATGAGCTCTACCCTTCCTAAATCAAGATGGTCTAGACTTTAGCTGATATTTAAATACATCCAAGCTTATTTGGCAGTTGTATTGGAAGACATTTTGAAATCCCACTGACTGATTTCCAGCAGCAGCAACCTTTTATTCTCAGTAAATAAAAGGTTTATTTATCTGTTTATAAGATTTACATTCTGACCATCTCAAATCAAATATTAATAATAAAATAATAATAAAAAGAGCCTTGATAGTACAGTGGTCTACGCACCCTGTTATTAACACAGCTGCCTGCAATTTACTGCTGGTTCGAATCTTACCAGGCTCAAGGTTGACTCAGCCTTCCATCCTTTCTAAGGTAGGTGAAATGAGGACCCAGTTTGTGGGGGCAATAAGCTGACTTTGTATAAATATACAAAAGTATGAAGGCTATTGCTTAACGCATTGTAAGCCGCCCTGAGTCTCCGGAGAAGGGCGGCATATAAATCAAAAAAAATTTAAAAAAAAAAAAACTTTATTGTCATTGTACGTGTATACACAGTTTACACATACAACAAAATTCACTTAACACCCAAAGACCAGGTCCAACACACATAACAATCCCCAAACACACCTCTACCCATCACAAATTCCCCACCCCTAAACCACCCAAACATCCACACAATAGATCAAGTAATGCTGTCCAACAGCTCACTGATGGTGGCCCTTTAGTTCATTGTTGAGTGCAATTGTAGGTCTGGGATAAAAACTATTCAGAAAACTCTAGGATGTGTACAAAATGCAAAATTCCCCCATTATTTGGGATGCGTGAGTTCTGTTGGATAAATAGATTAGATTAGATTCTGTTGGATAAATAGATTAGATTAGATTAGATTAGATTAGATTAGATTAGATTAGATTAATTAGGCTTCATGACTCTAATACTGAAATTTTAAATAAATTCAAACTGGATTTTAAAAACTGATGATAATAATATGCCCCTCCCTTTTTTTCTAGGATTGCAGCACACTTTTCCAACACCAGTGTCTAAATCACACTAAAGTGTTTCAATAAATCCTAAACAATTGTCCATTGGCTGAGTTATATAACCCTTACTAATTGCATGCAAAGTGTATTTTGTATATATCTACTTAATTTTTATACATTTCTGGAGCTAAGAAATAATGTACGTAATGAGGCACGAAAGTCATTCTCTCATTTTGGAAACTCTTGTCCCTTTCCCAATATACAGATTGGATTCATGATTTTTCCTAAAACCATGGCTTGTTTTAATCTTGGTTCATTAAATATGTTATAAATACTGAGTGCCCACATCATCCTGTCATAAACTATAGTTTTCAGATCATAGTGGCTAGATAATATATTAAACCAAGCAAGCCATATTATATTTTACAATATAATGTGAACCAAGCCATAGTCAATCTACCTATTTATTTATTTATTTATTTATTTATATTTATATAACAGCCTATTTCACAACCAACTCTAAGTGACTCCCAATCAAAACTTAAAAGATATATAAAATCATTTTAAAACTATAAAACTCAATCTATTAAAATATTAAAACATTAACAATTAAAATTTGACATCAATCAGTTCTAATGTGTGAACATCTAATCCTCAACACTTTGGGGGAAATCCACTTTATTCACAGAATTGTACATAGCTTATTCCAAATAACAATGCCTTCCATTTGAAACGGTAGCATATTGTCTTGAATGGACAGCTGAAAAATTTCCATCTGGAAAAATATGTGTGCTTGACAGATTTCAGGCTATGCTAGAAGACCAGAAATAGTCTTGTATTTTAACTGAAAACTGAGATGTTTATTATGAATTTGGTTTCCACTACCACATTCTATGCTTTGATATGTATATATAAAAGTGGAATCAAAAAAGTCATGCAACAGTTATTTGCTGACCAACAGTTTTCATGGCCCATGTGTATTTTATGTGTTCCAGCACTCCCAGAAGGATCGTATCCCATTTGGAACTGAAGATCTGCTTAGAGAACCTCAATTTAAGAAATCAAACATCTTAAAAACCAAACAGGCTGTGCTCACCGCATCTGAAAACTTTGACAAAGTCCGAGCAGCCACTGGGGTCACTGAGGCTAATGTAAGAGCTTTATGTATTGTGTGCTGCAAATCCTTTCTAATTCCTTCCTAAAGTGTGGGGTTTTGGCTTCCCATTCAGCTCTGTGCAGAATGGAGAATTTGGAATATTTGGTTTTTATGAAGAAGTGGATAAAATGGCCAAACATACATGGTGGAAGAGTGTGGTTGTACTTCTAGAAACCCTATTAGAAGAAAAGGGAAGAGCACATTCAGAGAGTACTGTTCTGTAAATCACAAACAGCATGTCAGACAAACAAGAAACCCCAGAAGGGAAAATTTTCCATGGGGGTGCTGTAGATAACAATGTCATTTTGGTCATTCCTCTGACCAAAATTCTCAAGGTACTCATATATTAGAAAATGAAATTGGAGAGCTAGCCAAAGGAGAGCGTTTTCTGGTAATTGGTGACTTAAATCAGTCCTCATATAATTGGATAAAAGACTGATAAGCCTTTTAGAATTGTAGAACAGATGGAAATTTAATGGAGGAGAAATGCCCCTGGATTTAATCCTAAATATCATCCACATCTGCAAAAAATGTGAGTGCTGTGGAACAATTTAAAATAGTGTCTACAGTGACATCAAGTTTAATTTATGTTGAACAAAGTGACTGTTCAAAACGTAGGGGACTGGTAACATAGAAACTGAAATTGAAATCAAGAGGTCCAGTGTTTTTCTAGAATGACCAGGGGTTTCTCAAAACACTTGAACATTTGTAACAGGTAAGAAAAAATACTATTGTATCTAAGAGGATATTCATGAATAATAAAAAATTAAAGCAAGAAATTTCTTTAGAAATTAGAAATCTTGTCCAAATGAGAACAAAACTAAATAAAACTTTTACTAAAATGCAAACAAGTAGTAAAGGAAGCCAAAAAGATAGAATGAACATTCTTGTCTTACTTGTGAAATTCCCATTGATATCTCTTGGTGTGGTAAATACAGAATATTGATCTAGGTAGGTCTTTACTCTGATCCAGTAATATGACCTGTTCGGTCATATTTGCTTATACTGTAAGCAATGTAGTCCTTAGATATTTGTTTTTTGGACCGTTGAAGCCAGGAAAAAGAATCTGTTCCATATGCACAGTAACCCAAATTTAATTGTTGGATCAGTCAATGAAGAATAATCAAGCAGATCCACCCACCACCAGGAGTTTACATTATAGAGTTTAAGGTAGCTCAGGAGGAATCAATCAAAATCAGTAGGAGAAAAAAGCCAGAAAATAAATCAAATGTACGCAAAAGGTGATCCAGGCTGAAATAATTTTAGCTGTCTGCCTTTTTTGTTTCTCAATCAGAAGGGCTAGTTATAAAGTTCAATTCTGATCTGTACTCTTTCAGCCCTGTTTGTAGCAACTCCATCCCATCCCATTATCATTCCCTACCAAGGCACACTTGACATCAACAATCAAGAGCTGCTTAGAGTACATTCATGTGTGACTAAAAAACAGCCCTACTACTCCATGCATCAGCTGCCACTAGTCTTTCAATTTGGAAACATAGTAGTACATTTAGGGCCATCAATCCATTTAGGGTCTTAATTTTTTTCAACAAAATTGGTGGGGTTTTTTCCATTATTCTAGAGAAGGGGTTAATTTTTCCTATCGCATTGGCCTTGTAGCATTGGAGGTTTACTTATGCCTGGTACTTGTCCTTCCCATTCTCATAGTCATCCACCTACTCAGTGTACTAATAGAATTAATACAGTATGAAAATCTCCAACAGTGCTCAGAATATGTGACTTATGGTGAGACTGGACTTCTGAACAAGACACACACTGAAAAGTCTCAACCCTTGTGGTTTTTTCCCAAACTGTTCTATGAGCCAATCTCAAATGGATTTGATCTGTCAAAATCAAAATCAAAATTGAGTGCTCTCTACATGGGGCTCCCCTTGAAGAGCACCCGGAGGCTCCAACTGGTCCAGAATGTAGCCGTGCGGGTGGTTGTGGGAGCGTCATGGTGCTCCCATGTAACACCTCTCCTGCGCGAGCTGCACTGGCTTCCAGTGGTCCTCCGGGTGCGATTCAAGGTGTTGGTGACCACCTTTAGAGCGCTCCATGGCTTAGGACCTGGTACCTACGAGACCGCCTTCTGCCACCGAGAGCCTCCCACCGGCCAGTATGCTCCCACAGAGAGGGGCTCCTCAGGGTGCCGTTGGTCAAACAATGTCGACTGGCAGCCCCCAGGGGGAGAGCTTTCTCTGTGGGAGCACCTGCCCTCTGGAACGAGCTCCCCCCGGAGATACGGAGGATTCCGGATTTACATACTTTCTGCTGGGCCTGCAAGACTTTTTTATTTCAGCAAGCCAGGCTGGCCTAACTTCTCCAATTGCTTAATTTGAATTTGAATTTTAAAAGGGGTATTTTAATTGTTGGGCCAAAATTGTTTAATATGTTTTTTAAACTGTTCTTAAATTTTTGTATTCTGTGTGTTTACCTCTGGCTGTCCACTGCCCTGAGTCCTTTGGGAGAAGGGCAGTATATAAATTTAAATAAATAAATAAAAAGAAAATCACTAAAAACCCAAACCAGTCACACTAAGAAACCCTCTTCTTGCTCCTAGATGCCTTTTCATTCCTAGGTCATTAGGATCTTCCCATCAGAATGCAATGATATTAAACCGAAATGATGCCCTTTGTTGAGCTTGCTCTTGATACTGCCAGAGTCCTCCCATTATCCTTTCCTACAGCCATCTTTCTCAGATCTGCATCATATAGTTCTATGTTGTAGATTGCTCCCCTTTCAACTTAGTTGTTAAACTGTAAATTGAAGACTAGTCTGTTATTAAAAGCCATATAAATCCAAAGAGCTATGTTGGTTTTGGAGTTTTCTTGGACTTCTTGTTTTTTAAATAAGATGAATATGTTAGATTTGATTAACAATATTTGCAGGCTTCCCTAAGAGGTATATTATATAAGCACATTGTCTCTGATTTGAATGCAAAGACTAGCCTGTGGAGTAGGAAGAAGTCAGGTTGGATTGGTTGATGATGCTTTGCCTACTTTATGGTCATGTGATAGGATGTTGTGGCCTGCTTTCTGGCCCAAGAAGAAACATTCAAACAGCTGGAGGAAATGAAGAATGAGAATGAAATATCCTTGGAACAGCTTAAAGAAGAAAAGGATGCGCTATTACATGAATTAGAGCATACTAAGTACTCAGGAGAGGCCCGGAAAGTAGGGTGAGTACTTGCTTTTCTTTGGCTGTGAGATATGAACCTGAGTAATCAGCAGCATATACTGGCCACCAATTTACAGAATGGCAACCTTTGTTTTCTGCTATTCAGTATGAAGTTATGTATAGCAAGTAGAAAACTGAGCAGTGAAAGTTAGGAGCTGAAGTTCATAGGTTCCTTTCTTGAGTCCAGTACTGTTCCTGTTTTGCTCTAGAGCTCAGAATCTGATGAAGGAGTTACATGATCACCTACAAAAGGAAGAAAAGAGGCGTGATGCAACCCAGGCTGAACTGAACAAGGTGAACCGGGTTCTGTTAAATGCCAAGGCTGGCATTGAACATTTGGCTTCCAAAGTTCAGCATATCAAACTGGTGAGTGTTAAATGATTACTTTTTGCAGTCACCAATTGCCTATGTCTAGAGTTGAGACTATCAGCTTTCTAATGAAGAATACCTCTAAGCTGCTTGATACCCATGATACCCACCATGGCTTCCCATTTTCATTGTTTATTTAACACCATGACTGTTCCCCACATTTTCAAAAGGGAGAGCTAATTGTGTCCTTTCACAGAAGATAGGAGGAATGAAAGAGATAGAGATAGGAGAGGCTAGTGTTTATAACAAACACCACAAAGACCCCTAATATTTGTTGCCCTACTAGAAACAATAACAACTAAAAAGCAATGCATTTGGTGTTTTGTTGTGGTTCTCTTTATGACCCTGAGCAGATTAGTTTTCTAGCAAATTTCTGAATTTCCTGTTGTGTTATATTGAAACCCGGGCCAGTTAGCAGCGCTTCTTTTTCCTAGGAAGATAGCCGCTTTGCTTCCATGGAGTTGGATGAGAAAGCGAGTGAATATGTTCTTGATCTCATGAACCAAACAGAAGAGAAATTGCTATATTTGGTAGAATTCTTGAAGGATCGAGACAAGGCAGAGCTGCTTAGGAGAATTGAAGAAGTGGAGGTGAGTCCAGATCAGGCTAAAGAGCAACATAGAATTATATTTTCTTAAAAATGTATTTGATTATTGTTTTATAAGGATTAATAGAAGAGAATGTATGTAGTTCAGGGTTGAATTGTAGAGTCATTGGTCCTCTTTGAGCTTAGTTATTTTCTTGCAGATGTGCAAGAAAAGTGTTATTGAAGTGGATGGAAAAAAGAAAGTAGCAATGAAGATGTTGCCTAGTCTGATAACAAAACATCTGGAGCAAACAGCCAACCTTCAGCAGCACCAAGGACTCCACAGTTTAAAGAGATTCTTATAGATTCTATTCCCCAATTTACCAAGCAGTTAAATTCTTAAAAACAATACTCCGAAGTTTAGTTTCTTTTGAATGAAGAATTAGATTTTTGCAAATTTTTTTTGGTTTACAAATGATCAAAGAAAACACTTTTCCACCAAGCTTCTATAGAGGTTCATGGTGGTCAGTGATCATAGTAGACATTACAACAGTGGGTAAAACTGTTCAAGGCATTCTTTGGCTGTATGTATGATTCATATAATTCTAGATAGAAACAGGTCCTGGGCCTACTCTGGGTTGCTCAAGTTTAGATTGAAATTTTTGCACTAACAAGAAAGCTTTCCAGTTTTGAAGGATATATTTTTTTTATTAAATCTCAGGCCCAGTCAGGTGAGATTTTGAGTTTCTCATGCAAACTTTATTTTTTTTAAAAAAATGGCCATGCTTGTATAACACATTTAACATATGCACAGTTTTAACCCCTTTTCTGAGTTTTCAGGATATAGTGAACCATAAATTAATCAAATGGGCTAGGTTTGCATAAAACAATCACAAAAGCAAATTAAGATTAGAAGTAACTAGGTTTAGCATGTTAGGCAAATGCAGCTTCTAGATCTTTCACTGACCTAATTAATATTTTTGTGATAGGCTACTTGTAAGCTAATACCAAAGTACATGGCTGATAAAGAATTGTAATGTTGCTTTTAGCTCAAAACTCAATACCTTACCCAGTCGTTCTTTCTTTCTGATCTTCATTTGTTTGAATAGGATATACTCTAGAGTTTCATGAACTTTAATGCCTCTGAATTAGCACTATTAATTTGGTGAGAAAAATGTAGATCACAGTTACTGAACTATCAGTATTGCTAGGCTCTACCTCAGTGCACCAGCTGTTGTTGCCCTCCCCCATGTCTATAATCTAAAGTGCAGTTGTGTTGTTGCAGTTTCATTCTAAACTTGAGAGGAGATTGCCTGCCTTCAATACCAGAGTGAAACTTCCCATTGCACAGAAGCAGGATATGTATTATGGTAAGTAAACAAGTCTAGACAGGGATTAGGACAAGGGTGTCAAACTCAAGACCCGTGGGGCGGATCCGGCCCACAGGGTGCTTACATCTGGCGGGGCCGCCCTAGGAACAGTGAAGGACTGGCCCGCATTGCCGCTGCCAGTGAAAACGTAGCTCAGATGCTCCATTTTTGCTGGCAGAACACTTGGGCCCCCATAGGTGTCCCTGACATAAGTAACATTGAGCTGGCCATGCCCACCCTGGCCACACACCCCTGGCCCCCTCCAAGGTCAAACAACCCTGATGCGGCCCTCATGAAATTGAGTTTGACACCCCTGTATTAGGAGGTCAGTGTGGCCACAGAACAAAAACTATATGCTGCCTTTTCTGTGGCTCTGTATCCAGGGATTCAACAGGTGGTGGGAGTACAGCAGTTAAAGTTACTGTTTTTTTATGACTGTGGACTGTTTATGATCTTAATTATGCCAAGATTCTGTGGAATTTCTTTTATTTATACATTTAATATAATTGTTGACTGCCCCAACCTTATTACTTTGGATGGTCTCATTTTCAGTGCTAGGAATAGTACCTTAGCATTTCTTTTTGGCTTTTCCACAATGTGAAAAAAAATCCATAAAATTTTGCAAAACCGCACATGATGAGTATATTACATAAGGTAGACAGCATGCTAATTTTAGTTTCTTTATTTTTAATCTGAAAATTGATTGTCCAAATTTATCACACCAGTTGGTTATGGTCTCTATTAATTTACCTTTATGACTCCTGTGTACAGCCTTAGTGACCTTGAACTCACGGCTTTGGCTTCACAGATACATTATCTCCCTTAGTTATAAGACAGTTATAGAGTTCTGGTTTTCTGACTCTAACCTTTGTTTTATGACAGATTTTACAACTCATCTACCATATTCTCCTGTCATGGTGGATAATCTTCCTTGGCTTATGGCGCTGTGATATTTTTGGTCTATTTATTTATCTATTTGCAGATGAGGAGGACAGTGGGGAGGAGGATGCTGATGTGGTGACAAGGGCAGCTCTGAAGCGTCAATCTCAGCAAATCATTGAGGCCAAGACCAAACGTCGCACTCGCTACAGAAAGAAGGATGGGAAGCTGTGATTGCATTCTGTGTAGCCCTATCTTCCTTAGATCCTGCTGTGCTTCAGCCTCCTTGGCTATTAAAAGTGCTTCCTAGTTACTGGTCTTCTGCATGAGCCAGTCCCACATTTTATGTCCATCAGTTTTGCAGAACTCAGGAAAACAATGACCATTTGTGGATCTATTCCACCTCCCTGTGCAGAGTACACAGGAACTTAGTGAACTGAAGTCACTGCCTAGCTCCTGTTTCCCTGCCTTTTATCTCTCAGCTATATGAGAAGAGTGGGTTCATCTATGGAGATGTGACCTTAAGGCTTCTGAAGGAGAGAAGGAAAATTTATCTAGTTCCCCATCTAAATAATCCAGATTATTTCTCAGAATTTATAAAATCTGTACACAACTGTACCTATTGAGCCTAAATTTGAATGGTTTTGCCACCCATCCTAACATTCTATCACAAGGATGGGTGTCACTTGCTCTGTGACTTTCTGTGTAGATTAGATCACTCTTTGTTTGCTGTGTATGATGCAATAAACCCTGTTCAGGCTGAAATTGCCAGTATGTTGTCTGCTTCTGCCAAGATTTTAAAAAAAAATGCATTCAGAGCTGTTGTCAGTGCCCCAAAGACCAAATATGGCTCTGAAACCAAACTCAATAAATGTGGGTAATTACTTAGGAATATTGTCCCAAGAAAATGGGAAGAAAATGTTTTGATCTTTTAGAATATTTGCTTGATGTTTCTTTAACTCTCTGCAGTTTCCTCCTCTATTTCATAAAAGCACGTCAAATTAGGTTTTGTTGATCCTTTTCATATAAAAAGCAGAGGGTAGAAGTTCATTTTAACTTTCTAAATGCATGAGACAATGTGAATTCTTTCATTTTCCCTGCTATACTTCCTTGTTCTTGATTACCCAGGCATCTGTCTTTCTAACCCTGTTAGAAAACTTTATTTGACCAATACACACAAGGAATTTGTCTCTGGTGCAGAAGTTCTCAGTGTACATACAAAGCAACAGGGTAATAATAATCATAATAATGATACCAATAAAAGGGAGTAGTAGAGAGGACTAGAAGGGTAATAATAATACTACAGCCATACAACATGGATAAATATACTTAGACGTAAGACAATACCGTGACCATTAGGTGTACAGCAGAGTGAGCTGAACGAGGGAAAAAAACTATCCCTGTGTCTAGTTGTTTTGGCATGTAATGCCCTATAAGTGGCATCCCAAGGGGAGAAATTGAAACAGTTTACGTGAGGGGTCTGTAGATATTTTCTCAGCCCTCCTTCTGACACACACAATATAGAGGTCTATAGAAGGTAGGCTGGTTGCAATTGTTTTTTCTGCAGTTCTAACTATCAGTTGGAGTTTGTATCTGTCCTGTTTGGTTGCTGTACCAAACTAGAAAGTTATAGAAGTACAGATGACAAACTCAATAATTCCACTAGATCCAGTTATAACACCCAGGTCCAAATCCAAAGTAAATAAAGATCAGAGATTTCAAATAATGCTGTTAAGCAAAATAGGATAGGGTAGTAGAAAACATTCTACTATCAAACAGCTGACACAGTTTGGTTTTTAGTATTTTAAAACCTAAGGCCATGTGAATAGATCAACCTAACCTACAAGAGGTTGTAGAAAAAATGCTTTTAAAAGCCTCTGACGATCCCAGCTGAGCTGCGCGATCAGCAGAGGCTTTTTTTCTACTTTTAAAAGCATTTTTTCGGCCAAAGAGGTGGTAGAAAAAAATGCTTATAAAAGTAAAAAAAAAAGCCTCTGATGATCGCGCGGCTCAGCTGGGCATGGGGGCGGGGGTTGCAGGGATTTTTGCTACCGGTTCTCTGAACCACCCGCCACCATCGCTACCAGATCAGGCAATCCAGTCCGAACCAGGAGCATTTCATCCCTGCTTTAAAGGTGATCATCAACACATTGAATTGCACCCAGAAGCAGACTGGTAACCAATGCAGCTCCTGGACCAGGGGCCATTCTTGGAAGCCCCAAAATTACCCGTACTGCTGCATTCTGCACCAGCTGTAGATTCTGAATCCTTTTCAAGGATAGCCCCATGTAGAGCGTATGTAGAGCCGCAGTCATAAGATGACTAGGGACTGAGCACAAGGAATCCTATTCCAGGAAAGGCCACAACCTGTGCACAACATGAAGTTGTGCAAAGGCTCTCCTAGCCGCAACTGCTCCCTGTTCCTCAAACAGGAGTTGTGAGTCCAGGAGAATCTCTAAGCTGCAGTCAGATCTTTCTGGGGCAGTGCCATCCCATCCAGAGTCAAAGAGGACAAAGTCCCAGATCCTGGAGCCCTGCGTACCTAAAGCCATTCAGTCTTACCAGGGTTCAATCGAAGCCTGTTGTCCCCCATCCAGGCCCCCACAGCCTCCAGGCACTGTGAAAGGGCAGCCACAGCATTATTTGGGTCACCAACTATATGGAAATATAGTGTCATCAGCATACAGTATATACCTTAGCCCATGGTGACGGATGATCTCACCCAGTGGTTTCACATAGATGTTGAAAAGGAGTGGAGAAAGTACCCTTTGGTACACCACAGAATAGTGGCTGAGGGCTGGACCTCTCACTCCCTATCAATAATGATTGGGACCTGCCACAGAGAAAGGAACTGAACCAGCACAGAACTGTGCCATCCATTCTATCCCCTACAGCTGATCCAAAAGGATGCCAGGGTCAATAGTATAAAGGCATAATACAGTTCCATTACTTTGCATGGTTTAGCAGTAATCTACTTAGTATATTTTGCATCAGTTTATAACTTCCAGATTCTTTTTAAGAGTACAGTAACTTCATGCAGAATATAATGTAAAAGCATGTATCAATTGTTATCAAATCCAAATCCAACCAGATGAAGGAATTACAACTGAAGTACCAGGCGTAATTGTGGAAAGGCATAGTGAATCCTGTGAATCCAGGTTAAAAGCTGCTCTTTTTTCCCCCAGGAAAAATTGAACCATGTCAAAAACAGATTGAATTTCAGCTCCCAAATCTAATTTTCTATTACTAACAGCACTTACATCTACAGCCTGTTACTGGATTAAGTCAGATTGTAAGTGCAAAAGAGTAGGGTGTCATCAGCAACAGCAAATTGATGATATCCCGTTCCAACTCTCTAGATAATTTTCCTAAGCAATTTCATGTGGCTGTTGAACAATGTGGAGGACAAGGGGCAGCATAGGTCACTTCCCAAGATGTCAAACAGGAGAGTCCCCTACCATCTCTGTTTGATATGGCCCAATAAGAAAGACAACTGCAATCACTGCTACAAAGGCCCAATCTCACTAGGCAGTTATATCACTAAGAGCCAAAACAGCTTTGGTACCATATCCCAGCCAAAAACCTGAGATGGATCCAGATATTCAATCTAATTTTGATGCATTTGGAGTTGCAAGTTCATAATTTTGATAACCTTCTCCAAAAATGGAATGGGATATCACTAATTATCTGGATCTTATTCAGGTTGCATTTTTCCACAGATTGAATAAAACCACATTTATTTTTAAATATTTGTGTTATTAAAAAACAGTAGTGGTATTACTAGATGTGTGGGAAAAGACAATTTATATTTGTTCGTTTGTTTTCTGAAAAAGAAAATGTTATATAATGTGCATTAAAAAAAGGCATTTGATATAACTTTAAATTGCTCTAGCCATTCTACATGATGCAGAGCCTCATTCCTTTAGCATTTTCAATGCAGTTATCAGAGAAACAAATGTGGGGATGAAATGTAATGCATTATGGAATACTGAGGGCTATATTAGGCATTGCACTGAAATAATTTAAACCAACATTCAGAGGATGGAAAATGCTGAGGAGTTTGAATTATGCTGATCTTGCCAATCTAGTCCTCTGCTCTGAGACTTGCAACAGCCCCTATTCTATTCCATGCTAAGGGCAGTGATTGGTAGATGTTTCCCTGCCAGTTGGGGATACTTGTGGAAAAAGAAGGAAACAAAGCTAGGAAAGTTCACTAGATCTTCTCCTTAAGGCATTCAGTATATTATAAATAAGAACAGCAGGATAAGTATTGTCAATAGGAACAGCACATTTTATGCTGGTATAGTTTCCTGCTATCTCAAGGATTAGCAGACAGCATTTTATTTTGAAAGTGAGGAACAACTCTTTAGTGATGCTATCATTTTTATATCCACATCAGAATATGTCTCAGTCATTTTCTGTATACAGTAATTTAATCCCTGGTAAATGTGAGTAGAGTCCATTATTTTTTACATAAGATCACTTCAAATATTTCTACATGGGAAACATTTCTTTCTAAGAAACAAGAAAAGTGTAGGATCATGTAAAAATAAGCTGGAATAACGTTTAGTCTTTTATAATGTGAAACATTTTCACACAAAAATTCTAATTTTGCAAAGAAAACCACACATTTAAAACTGCAACGTTCAAATGCATGAAGTGTAATCTAATGTACATATATAAGGATTAAATTATTTGGTGTTTTGGACCTGATCTTTATACCAGGTTCTGAAATGCTCCTAACAAAATGCTGCAATTTTAATTTTAGAGCTAGCCCTATGATGAAATTCTTTATGTAGAGAAAAAAGACTAAGCTAAAAGTTCATCTTACATAGAACATCTTATGAATGCATATATCTACCAGTTTTAGCATTTCCTGTTTTTAAAACTGTTCCTGTCATAGATTTCAAAAAAATCAAATATCTACACTTTTTACAGCAAGTCATATTCCCTTTGTAGTTGGATGATTTATTGAATTACATGTGGATTAGAATTACTCTCAATTTTGATCATGCTCTTCAATCTAGATGTCTAGTTTCCCCTGTAAATAGTCTAGATGAGAGTCAATGTGGCTTTTTTGATTAGAGAGTTATATTGAAACTAGACATGGTAGCAGTCTTTTAATACTTAAGGAACTGTCACAGAGAAGGGGCCCACTTATTTTTCAAAGTACCTGAGGGCAGAACAAGAAGTAACAAATGGAAGATAATTAAAGAGATTCAACCTAGAATTAAAGAGAAATTTCCTGACAATGAGAACAGTGGAAAGCTGTGGGTTCTCCATCACTGAAGGTTTTAAGAAAAGATTGGATACCCATTTGTCCAGCATGATATAAGGTGTCCTACTCGAGCAGACGATTGGACTAGACCTCCGAAGTCTTCAAGGGACTTCAGTTCACCAGGGAAACTTAGAAACCTGATTGTGCCCAGTTTGCCCCAGAAGCAAACTGTGTTTATGATTTATTTTTATCTTGGCTACATTTGTTTTTTTTAAAAAAAGATCTCTCCCCCAACACTCCTTGGGCCTTCTCCCCCGATAGTTGTACAGCCCATTTTTACCTTCAAGTTAACATATAGTTGTAAGCTGGAAGTTTCTTTTATAACAACTTTCATTTCCTACAATAGCACATCATTTTTTCCGAAAGTGATTGCTATTCGCCCTGCTAGGTAGAGATGGGCATTCCTATTTCCTTCCAAATGAAGCCTAACAGGAAATCCACACTTCCTATTTTTTCTGTTTCAAATTGTAAAACTTGGGGAAATTTA